CTCATATTGCTGGACGTCAATATCTATTATATCCTTCATATGTGAACCCATGCCCGTGTCAAAAACAAAAGACATTCGATTAGATTTGGGCTCATCTGTATCATCTGGATTATTAGGAGGAGTAAATTCAGCGGAATCGGCCAATTTCTTTGTTTTTTTAAGATTAATGATCTCTCCTTTGAATCGTTTGGTAAAAACAGACTTCCCAACTTGTGGTGGCCCAGAAACAAAGAACTTAACATTCCGTGGGACTTTCATTTGTCCTGCAATAAAATTGTTTTACTACATAATTATTAATGACTTGTATAATAATACCATTGACACTGTCATCATCATTTTCAGTATCATGCTCTCTTAAAGGCCTTGCTACAATACTCTACAAGTAAAAGAAAAAGTAACTAAATTAAATATGGTATTATAAATAATACACATACCTCCTTTATTAATTGTACTGCTTCAAAGAAATGCATATCTTTAGCCATTTCAAATGGTGTCTTATTATCCTATAGTTATTATAAAAAATTCATGTCATGAGAAAATGATATAATTAAACATACCATGTTTTTGATTGTAATAGAGGCCTGCTTCTTTAGCAAAGCTTCAACAAGCTCATAGCTCTTAGCCCTGACAGCAAAATGAAGCGCTGTATTTCTCTTCTACAAAAAAAATCAATTAATGAATTAGTTAAAAGTACTCTTGGTAAAAACATAGAATTTTTCTTTTCAACAAGGATGATAAATCAATTTTACAAGCAGCAAGCAGCTATGATCAAAGTACAGTACTTATGCATGTACATGCATATGTTCCTGTTCTCCATTTTTATAATCCCATACACATACATGTACTCATTATGCAAAGGAATTTTAAGCTGATTCCAATCACATTTGGATTTTAAAAAAAATTTTTAAAGTCGCTCAAAAATAGGTAGAAGTCCCTGTATAAGGACTTTGGTCAAATTTCATCAAAAATGACTATTAGAGAATTCTCCAATTTTATAACTTTTTCTGATACATATACATGTACTTACGTTGTGTAGAAATATATGAAATTTGAATTTTTAATGAATTTTTAAAGTTGCTCTAGAATCAGGCCAAAAACTGGTACAGGGTATTTTATTGGGCTAGAAGAAATTTTCTATTTTTAAAAACTTTTTACAATGCATAATACATGTTGCTATGCCATGGATTAAGTTTAGGGTCAAACTCATTGGCCTCGCCTACGCGAGGTATAGGTAGTTGTTGTGTCTGTCTGTCTGTCATTCATTCATTCTGTACAACTGAAATTTGTCTTTGATAAACAATAACTTTAGCACAGCGTGTTCTAAGCTCCTAGATGTTTCTTATTGACTTGGAAAAGTCTTTCTTAACTGTTTTGTGTTGCTCAAATACAAGTGCTAGGTACAGAAGCTTCAAAGTAAGAAAATCGAGTAGTTGAGCCAAGTTCCGTTGTGTTGGCACTTTAGAGATAGCTGGTAGCATTTTTCAGTAGATTAGAACATGGCCTTCAAAAGATATGAACAGATTTCTCTAAATCTTACTTGATGAAGAGTTATACTTACTTGAAATTGTTGAGGTCACTCGTTTGTGAAGCGCTAGAGCAACAATTTGCTGGGCTATAGGTACTAAAGTACCTATACTGTCTCAAATATACAAAGGCAGCAACTTTTCTGTCAGCAAGTTTATCATATATTGCTGATTAGTAAAGAAAAAGTGAAGCTTCTTTCTCACATGGTCTTCTTGCTGCCAATTATTCCAGTTATGATGGAATGCCACACCTTTCAATCTACATGCATGGGAGGGGCTGGAGCTGCTTGCATGTATGTGCTGCAGTGCTGCTACTTCTGTAGGTATTCAAGAGCAAGTGCAACTGCAGGAAGCTAATGTTGAGCAGACTCTCTTCATGCTGATAATCAAACAGCTATTGCAGTGCGGGCATGCACCATAGCAGCTATAGGGGCAAGGCCATGCACCGTAGGTGTCTCGTATAAATCAAGCACTCATTGGCTTTTATGCATTAGAGATATCATACTTTAGCATTACAGAGATTCCCTGCACTCAATACCTATATATCTCTACTGCTTTCTAGCACTAGCTAAATCTGCTTGGGATGTCAAATTGTCAACTGCAAAATTTATTTCTCTCCATCTGATCTGCATCTCATGCTCAGTACTCAGTAGCTCCACCCACCCCGTTGTATGATAGGTCCGAGGAACAGGAAAATCTTAGTGCTTTTACCTACCACTGTTCAAATGCTGCATTGTAAGGAAGCCTGCAGATATATTGATGTGAATGACTCTGAAGTCAGTCTCAGCCTAAACTAACTTGGACTACATTGCTACAGTTGCCTATTGAGCCATATCATTTGTGCAGTGACTGCTTCTAGCTATCTTTATTAATGCTTCCTAAATGCTAAATTTGAATCGATGGCAAAGGTAGGTCAATTGAACTACATGTACACTACACTCTATGAAAATCTGAGCTACCAGTTAAGTCACACGGTCATGAGTATTTTTAGTCTGTCAAGATCTATTGTATACCGGTATACATTGCTTTGCTTGCTGAGGCTCGCCCCTTCACTGTTTTACATTTGTGTAGTATAATGTTCACGTTTTTCATAACATCTTTAATTGTTGTAATTGGTGGTATGAGTTTTCATGGAGCAATGATAGCTGAGTACTTGTACCAAGAAAATTACAAAGCTACTTTAATTGAAGATTCCATAAACATTGCACCTATTCCCGGCACTCAAATGGGATCTTTGGTCACAATTAAAAGTAAATAAAATTTTCATTGATTTCTCTGATGAAACTAAACTAAAAACAGTCCTTGAGAAAAGTGGTGCAACTATACTGTGTTGTATGCACTTACAGCACTAATAGACATGGAAACAATGGCAAATGACCCATTAAACAATATCAGTTAGGATCATTGACTTTGGCACACTTTCAAAAACTTTTGCTTCTTATTTCAAAAGTGCCTTAGTTCCATCAATCAGGTCATATTGCTGTCCACAGTTGATAAAGTTTTGAGCTCAAGTTTAATTCACAAGACTTGGCTTCAACCCTAGAGCAGTTATATATTCACTCATATCACAGTAATGTTTTGAAGACAGGTGCAACTTTGATTAAAGTTAATGGAGTCTTTGGTCCATGGAAACTGATAAATTTTCTAATGCTTGTTGGTATATTAAAAGTGTGGTTCACCTTGTTAGAAAAATAACTCATGCCATTTCACCTGGATTTATGACTGACATATGATTTCACTACTAAGTGTCAAAAAGACAAAGAAGGAGGACCTGTTACCACATCATGGAATAAAAGTTATACAAGAAGCCTCAAAAAGAAAAAAATGTAATTTCGGGAGCTGTGTTAATTTTTAAAGAAACTAAAGCTTTTTGGCCGTCTCATGCTCATTTCAATAATTATAAATATTTTAAAATTTTTCTTATATCAGCAATGAGGAGTGCTCCTGAAGCAGACATTCTCATTATTCATAATACATTGAGTGATGATGTTGTCGAGAAGCTTCTAGCTGCATGTCCATCATGCCATATTAAACATAAAGACCCTGTGAATATGCACATTTCCCACGATCAAAGACTGTACCTTCTTTATGATTATTTGCTGAATAACCCCGACATAGATTATTTGGTGATCACAGACATTCGTGATGTTTCTTTTTTCGCTGATCCATTTAAAGTAATGAAAGAAACCGGTGATAAAATGGAGACTTTGCTGTGGCTGCAAAAAATGCTTATCATTTGTTTTCCTAATCTAAAAGATGCAGAAAGGAATAAAATTTTTAATTTGTATGGAATATTGAACAGTGATACACTAGGTAGACCAAGACGTATTCTAGCTCCTTTCACTATTGAGGCATATGATCCTTTACCTGGATATAGCAAATATTTACGGAGTCTGTGACATGCTAACAGCCAATGCTGTGCTTCATTTGCAACAATAATTATGATCACGTTTATCCTGGTTATCCATTCAGTGGATCATTTTTGACTGGGATTGCTGGTCAGCAGGGAGTTGCAATTTGGCACAAGCATGGGCGGGATGCTATAATTTACGTTTATAGTAGTTAATGTCTTAGATGCATGATCCAAAGGTACTTGCAAATAAGCGTGTTTGAGATCTAGTTTTGACACAACTTTCCCACCTGCCAGAGCTGTAAATAGATCCTCAGGTCGAGGCAATGGGTATGTATCACTGAGGAGAACTGGGTTTATCGTGACTTCATAGAGCCATCATCTTTTACTATGGGAACAACCGGTGCTGCCCACTCAGAATGTTTAACTGGAGTGATCACTCCCAGCTCCTGTAATCGACTGATTTTCTGAAGAACTTTCTCCTTGAGTGAATGAGCGACTGGTCGAGCTCAAAAAAACCGTGGTTTAGCATCGGACGGAATATGAAGTTTAGCAGAAATGTCTCGTAGTCTCCCGAACTCTGAACGAAATATGGATGAATGGTTTCCTAAAATTGTACCTAAGGAGGAAAAAGAAAAATTAACAGTATTAATTTCTGACCAATTAAGTTTTATGTGTTCCAGTCAGTTACAACCAAGTATTCTTGAACCATTTCCTGGAACAACCAATAGAGGCAGCCTGAGATTTCCTGTCCTTGATATTAGACTTGAACATCAATGGTACCCAGGGGAGTGATCTTCTCACCAGTGTATGTTGATAGGGTCACCTTTGATTGGGAAAGTTGAGGAAGGGTATATGAGACAGGGAGGAGTATGTGGTTTCACTAATGATTGACAAAGAAGCACCAGTGTCTATAGCTCCATCTTAAGATCAGCCTTGTTTATTTGAACTGTGACCACTATTGGTTTGATATTGGAAGGCAATGTAAATAAAGGATAGTCTTCAGAGTCTGCAGGTGAAGGAGGACGTGGTTTGTGGTGGTCCAGGGTGTGAGTTGGGTGCTGCTTGTTGTGATAGGTAGTTTTGCAGGTTTCCCTTTAGGTGGATTTCTATGGTTTGATTGTTGCTTCTCCTTAATTGATACGGCACACTCTAGCCAAATGACCTTTCTTTCCACATACTCTGCATTCAGAATCTATGAACCTGCATTTGTTGGCATAATGACTGCCTCCACACCTACATGATAACATTCCACCTTGCTATGATCTTTCTTCTGCATTGTATGAACCGGTAGAGTGCCTGGTTTCTGTTCTGACAGCTTGAAGGAGTCCTGAGCTGCTGCTGCTTCCAGTTGCCCTCAGCTCTGCCACATAAGTGGCAACTGTTTTATCAGGGTTCCTCACTCTTGTGTGGAATTTGTATCTCTGAGTGATAGGGGATGGTCTGGGACTGAAGTGATCCCTCAGCCGGCTTGTCGGTCATGGCCAGATGGCCTACAGTGTAACTGCATCCTCTTGCAGTGACTGTGGCTGCAATCATGCTGCAATATACTCTTCAGTAGTTCAGGTACGAGCACCAATGACTATGATAAAGATTATAGCTAGCTTCTGGACATCACCATCTGTGATTCCATTGGCCTTGAAGTAGACTGAACTGAAGTCGTTCTATCATTCTATGTAGGACGTCCACGAATCCTTAGTGGCGTCAAACGATGACATTTTGCCATGCGTTGCCAGACTATGTGAAGTGAGTGAAAAGGAGGTGACAAGTAGAAGATAAGTAGATAGATCTACTTATCTACTTACTCCAAATACCCTCGTCGCCAATTGTTGTGACTGAAACGCGTGAAAGGCAACCACGGCAAAACTCTCAGAAGTATAATTATTTTATACAATTTGAATAAAACTAAACAGAACTCAGTTCTCAGAACTGATAACAGATGAAAAGCATGCATAATCATTAATCATAATAATAACAGAAAAGTGACTGAAATACCTAGCAGTAGAAAGTAATAATAATAGAAATAATAATCACTATAATATATATACATATTATGCATAATAATAATTCATAAAATTAAGAATGAATACTACCATTCAACAACAATTATTATAATCTCTAAAACTCTTAAAGTTATCTTTCTTTCAACCTTTTCTCTTTCTCATCTAATTCCTTCTCTCTACTTTCTATCCAATCTTTCTTTCTCATTAAGCTCTTCCTCTCTATTCTATAGCTACTGCTCTTTCTCAAAGAAGTTCTAGCTCCTTCTCTTGTACTTCAAACCAGCTATCATCCTCCTCTATCTCCCACCTTCCATCTCCTGTGTCACTCTCATCCTCTAATTTTAGTCTCTTTTCATTTCGAGGTGGTTCAAGTGATACTGCTGCCCCTTCTCTCCTTTGGTGTAGTTTTTCTTGATACTGTACCAAAAGGTATTACACTGGTAGACCATTTCTTATAGTGATTAGTATATCTTGTACATGCACAGAATGATAAAGATAATTCATTAATTTACAACTCACTGAGTTCAAAAACTTCTGTTTTGCTGATTGATGATATTCCATCATCTTTTGCGCCTCCAAACAATCATGCAGTTAGTAGTTGGTGTGACACTCCACACAGAAAGAGAATGCTTACATCTACTAGTAATAGAGTCTGGGAGTTTTACCTACAGCAACAAAAACAATGACAATAATTCTATTATGTTAATACTATTTTTCAATGCTTACAAACTCCTTCCATATTCTTGTTAATGTCAAGTAGCTAAAGTCTATTCACTTTCACCTGACCCCTGGCTTTTTTCAATTAATAAATAACTACGTCACATCCGCATTCTTTACGTATTTGTGGTTTTGGAATTGTTTTTGTTGCGCAGAAGGGATGCAGATAAGTAGCAGCTGAATTTAATCTAGCTGTTCTAGCTGCATAGTTGCGGTCAAAGGTATGTCATTGAGTTTATACAGGGACATCCAAAAAAGGCTAAGGCCTTATCATTTTGACCCGATCTTTTATCTAAAGGACGGGAAGGACCTAGCGATTCTAATGGTGTAAACAAAATTTCTAAATTCCATGTTTATCAAAAGTTATAACAAAAAATCAATAGGTCAGGTGAAAGTGAATAGACTTTAGTCAAGGCCACATATTCCACCATGCAAGAATCAATAGCTGTGGCCCTGCACTATACTGCTGTTAATAAGTGCACTCGAATGAGCATATCTTTTATAAGGTACAAATTACCTCACTAATGACATGAATTTCTGCATTGGTAACTACTGATATAAATAGGTTATCTCGACAAAAGAGATCTACTGACCCATTGATACATTAAAGTAGTGTACTTCATTGCATACTTGATACCCAGTTAATGTTTCTTTGGTGCTGTAACATCCTAATAGTAGGAATGGACTGTGGATAAATGTCACAATTATTATTTTGTAGTAAAAAATAATATTGTAATACTTCATATAATGTTTTACTGCCTTTCATCAAAGGAGTAGTGGAAGTATTGGACTGGCAACTGGAGCCACCACTTACTAATGTTACACCATAACACTAGGTGGTTCAAGATATATTCTCTTTTCACTTTTGAGTCGTGTGATCTGTGCATGACATAGTAACAACCTAGTCTCGCAAGGGATTGGCCTGGCTGGCAAGACTAGTAACAACCAATAATTTGCATGTTTATCCTGCATTCAGTGGTCCATTTTTGAGTGGGATTGCTGGTCAGCAGGGAACACAATGGACACAATTATATTTTAAATTATTAATGAATTTACTACTTTTTGTGGTTAAAAATTTTAATATTTCGTAATTCAGACATAATTTTTTAAGAATGCACTTGTGTAGTAGTGATGTCTTTTTGTTCAATAGATGTCGTCAACTCTTCAAACAGGAGAAATTATGAAGCAAATTGGAAGGAAACAGGAGAATAAAATTAATGAGGTGATATTTCAATCAGTGCCAATTGAACTAAGCCTATTGGCAGCAGTAAGTTAATCATCTACTGAACAGTATTATGCATTGATTTATGTCATGCTAGGCTCAGTTTAATCTCATTGTGGTTTAATGGTATGCACAGAATAACATGTTTTGCCGCACTGTCTACTATATTGAGAAAACCAAGAGCATGAGCCATCAGCAGACTGTAGTCATCATTAATAATTCGATCTACTTGTTTTTGGCATATCGATCTACTTGTTTTTGGCATATCATCAGGGAATTTTTATGACCATCCGGTCTTGCCCTGGATGTACGTATAATATCTGTCACTATATAAACTTGTGGCAGTTTATATACACCCACACACACACACTATAGTACAACAAGCAGATCAGGTAAGCTTCCTGTTTCATGTCCAGGTCCATTACTAGCTAGTCTAGCTATGTTGAAGACAGTCTTTAGGCTAGAATTATACACGAAGAGAAGCGTACTTATTAAGTGTTCTATAGCCGTGGTTCTGTCTGTCGTCTTACTTCTATCCGTTTGGCAAGGCCATGTCCGTGGGATGTTTGGCAATGGCCCGATGACGGTAAGCTCTGCAGGGGCTTGTCTGGCTAATTAATTTTTATTAGGTCAACGAGACTATGATAGAAGAAGACATAATTTTACCAGCTAGCTTCAAAAAGGTTCATTACTAAAATAGAGACACGATAAAATATTTGTCCTTGATATTATATGTTCATTCCTGGCACTGATTCCTTCAGGACTATTTTGTCAGTTTCTTTATGCTCTCCTTTTCTTTAAGTTGTGTGTGTATTGTCTCTCTCATTAGTCTTGTAAAATAATAATAATATTTAGCCTTTAATGATATTGTATCTACACGAGTGTAGTATCATTTTAAAGCTGACTATTATTATCCATTATAGTTGAATCCTGCTAATAATATATCTCTGCAACATCCTAATACTAGAAATGGACTGTGGATAAAAATATCACAATCATTTATAGTAAAAAATATTATTATCATTGTGTTTATTTCATGTTTACCATTTTAGGTAAGAAGAATAGGTTATCTCGACAAAAGAGATCTGAATAACATTACCATAACTTTGCTATCAATGCAAGATAAAAGAAAGCATCTTCCTCAAGAGATATTCCTCAAAATATATGATCAAGATAATCGTGTTGTTGCTTGCTTGTCAACTTCATTCGAACTTGGTGCATTAAAAGGCAGAGACACCTATGTGCTTTATTTGATACGTAGTTCAAGGTTGATGGATTACCAGACAAAGTCTATATCGTATGTGAAAATATCTACTAACAAACAATGTGTCTCCGATTTTGATACCATACTCATTAGGACTGTTGGAGATAAACCTCCAAAATATGATTTCGGGATGTGTCTTCATAAAGCTATTGAAAATATTTCCCCTAAAGTTATTCATGATTGGGTGAAGCTAAACATAGCATTAGGGGCAGAAGTGATAATGCTGTACCTTCAAACAAAAGCACCACAAGAAATTTTTAATGTTTTACTGCCTTTCATTAACAAAGGAGTAGTTGAAGTGTTGGACTGGCAACTGGAGCCACCACTTACTAATGTTAGTTCATCAAGTTATGGGCAGACTGGAGTAATATCTGAATGTATATGGTACAACATGCACAGAGTGAAATACCTTGGACTCAATGATGCAGATGAGTTCTTTGTTCCTTTGAAACACAACAATGTACAGGATATGCTGAGATATTTGGAGAATATACAAGAAGCAAGGAGGGCTGGTTCATATATATTCACTAATGCTCTTATCAAAGGTCACAAGGTTCTGCCTATTGTTAAAAAAACATTAAATTCAAAAAAATGTGATAGCCTGAGTGTTGATACACTTCCATCTTACTTCAAGAGGTCTGAGTACTGTCTTGAAAAGGGAGGCCAGTCAGTAAAAATGATAGTCAAACCTGATGCAGTATTCACTGCATGGGGACATGTGCTCATAACTTATCGTTCAGACAAGTATACAAAAGAATATATAATTCCTGATACACTGGGCCTCTCATATCATTACAGATCTCATTGGAATAATTATCATGGTTGTCGCACTTTAAGAAAAGAGACCAGGATTATTGAAAAATTCTTTACTAACATAACACAATGCAATGTGGTGTAATGAAAACTAATAATGGTTTTTTTCTAAAAAAGACAATTTCAAGAACTTTTCATAAAATTAAAATTCAATACCACCATCTAACAACAACAAATATTATACTTTCTAAAGTTCTTAAAGTTCAACCTTTTCTCTCTCTCTCGTCTAATTCCTTCTCTCTACTTTCTAGCAATCTTTCTTTCTCATTAAGCTCTTCCTCTCTATTCTTTAGCTGCTGCTCTTTTTCAAGAAGTTCTAGCTCCTTCTCTTGTACTTCAAACCAGCTATCATCCTCCTCTATCTCCCACCTTTCATCTTCTGTGTCGCTCTCTTCCTCATCCTCTAATTTTAGTCTCTTTTTATTTTGAGGTGGCTCAGGTGATTCTGCTGCCCCTTCTCTCCTTTGGTGTAGTTTTTCTTGATACTGTCTCAAAGGTATTACACTGGTAGACCATTTCTTATGATTAGTATATCCTGTACATGCACAGAACGATAAAGATGATTCATAAATTTACAACTCACTGAGTTCAAAAACTTCTGTTTTGCTGATTGACGATATTCCATCATCTTTTGCACCTCCAAACACAATCATCCAGTTAGTAGTTGGTGTGACACTCCACACAGAAAGAGAATGCTTACATCTACTAGTAATAGAGTCTGGGAGTTTTACCTACAGCAACAAAAACAACAATAAAACAATAACAACAGCAATAATAATAATTCTATTATGTTAATACTATTTTTCAATGCTTACTAGCTCCTTCCATATTTTTTTGTTAATGTCAAGTAGCCAACAGTCAAGGCCACATATTCCTCCAAGAATCAATAGCTGTGGCCCTGCACTACTGCTGTTAATAAGTGCACTCGAATGAGCATATCTTTTATAAGGTTCAAATGACCTCACCAATAAAGTGAATTTCTGCATTAAAATGAAGCCATAATATAATTATTGTTCTTGTTAATTATAATTATACACTCACTACTGATGTATTGGTGAATGTGACTAAAGTAGCATCATTACTGGGTCCAAAATCGTTGCTACCTCCAAACAATATTGCACTGTTAGGCGTAACTGAAGTCATGCTGAATTCTGAAATAGGAATTGGTCTGTCTTCAGTGTTTGGTGACATCCATTGCTCTAAAATATAAAAATATAAAGAAAGGCTTTAAGTATGGCCGTACAATGATTTAATCATCATCCTGCTACATGTAATAGTTCAATTATTGATGATGATCACTTGAAAATTAATGTAAATTGTAGCCACTCTAATAAAATTCAGCTCAAACTTTCTACACAACATAAGTACATGAATATGCATCAGAAAAAATTATAAAAATGGAAAATTCCCACCTTTTCTTTTTTTGCAAAATCATATTAGCCAATTTTAAAATATGGTCATAACTTGAAAAATTTAAGTCAGAATTCACTCGAACTTTCTACACAGCATAGGACATCAATATACATCAGAAAATGTAATTTAAAAATTAAAAGCAATTTTTTCCTTTTTGGCCTAATTTTTGAGTAATTTTGAAAATTTTTTTAAAATCCAATTTTGATTGGAATCAGCTTAAAATTTCTACGCAACATAAGCACATGTATATGCATCAGAAAAATTATAAAAATAGAGATTTTTTTCTAGTAATTTTTGCCAAAATTTAACTATCTCTATATGTGTATACAATGTATGCATTATTATTATTATTTTTTTTTTTTTTTTTTTATTATCATTACTGACCAGTTGATATCTTAAAGTAGTGTACTTCATTACATATTTGATACCCAGTTAATGTTTCTTTGGTGCTGTAACTAGCATCTCCTTGCTTGGGCGTTTCACTAGAAACTGATCCAAGGCCTCCGATCACTGCAAGATAGTCCTCCCCATTCAGTTGTACAGCTACCATCCCACAATTGCACTTCTTCATGGGGCCAAGGTGAGAGTTATTAGGAGATATTTCCTTCCAATTGAAAGCATCAACATTAAAACAGTGCAGGCTGTTATAGAAAGTTCCAGCAGAATTACCACTATATCCACCAAAATAGAATATTTTGTTACCGATAGCAGCAGCTGCATAACCAAAAAGGCCCAGTGGTGAGTTTCCTGTTGTGGGCCTTTGCTCCCATGTACCAGTTGGTAAATGATAAAGCTCCATTACTGATAATGCAAATTCTCCGTTGCTTTTTGATGAAACACCTCCCCACATATACAGAGTGTCTCCTACCTTGACTGTAGAGTGAGACTCTCTCTCCAGTGGCTCGTAGTCTAGATAATAAAGAAGGTAACTTTCTTTTACAATTAAAAATTGTTTATAATACCTTTCTCTGCCTTTGACATAATAGTACTGGTTTATGAGTGAGCAACGCCCATAGAAAGCATTAAAATAACTATTAATTAGGCGATAGGCAGAGGTCAGCCGCCAGCCGGACTCCATCATTCAACGTTCATGTTGGGATGAGGATACTTGATGTTCTTCTCATTTCCACTACAGCCTTGGCAGTTACTGGAAATGATGGTAACTTAATTTAAGATATGATTATCACTCTGTAATCATCATTTTTTATATACATTATTATATTATTAATTATATGTATTACATATATAATATATATATATACATAACTATAGTGTTGGTTGTTGGTGGTGCTGGTTTCGTTGGATATCACACAACACTAGAGCTATTGAGTAGAGGACACTCACCAATTGTATTACACAACTTTGATGATGAGAAACACTCTCCGCAGTGGGAGCAGATGCAAAGGAGAATCGATGAGCTACACAAGAAAGGTATGACGAATATTTACATAGAATATTAAACCATGGATAGTAGATTAAACATAATTCATAAGTTCATCAAATTCGGGAGTCAAAAAAACCCAAATGGCTATTGGCCATAATTACATGTGCAATGAATGCCTTGATTGGAATGCGTATCCATGCCAAAAATTATAATTCACAGGAAACTTGATCCAAGCTATGTTTATTGTTTATTGCTGTTGGTTGTCAAGATGGTCTAACTTGATTCAAAACACCTCTTTATGGGCACTTTGATGAGTGCTGTCATTCTGTTGCCTGAAATATTACTACTATACTAATAACCACAAGAGTTGGTAGAGAGGAAGTGCTATATAAAACCAATGGCTACACAGCCAAATATATTCAGGCCTGATTCAAAATGTTGCCCAAAATAATGACTCAGACCTGATATCAGTACTGGTACAGCCCTGTTGGCTATCACTGCTGAATGATCAGGGAAGTCAGTCTGGCCTGATCCAGTATAGATGCTTATCATGCCTGTACTGTGGCTGACCCCATGATTGTATCAGGACTCATTGCCCAAAATCCATGATCCATGCCTGATATCAGGCAGTCTGAATCAGGCCTGATTTTAATCTGAATCAGGTCTGATCAATGTGATTATATTTGGTTGTGTACATTAAATACCTACCTACTCATAACTAATAGAACCTTTCTAATTGAAAGCAGATGGTACGTGGCCTTAAGTCACTGTTGACATAATGATAGTCTTTTGTTGATAGCAACTATAAACTTTTCATTGAGCTCAAAATTATTAGCCTTTCAGCCATTGATTGACACCAATTGCCGCAACTGCAACTAAAAGGCTGTATGTACAGAACTGTACTAAGATATGAAAGCCTTATAAATATGAATGGAAACTTTCTCGCCATAACAGTTTCAAAGGTGAAAATTGATTAAAATGAACTCTGATGAGGCCAATACAAATATCAGTCCACATAAAACCAGTAGTTATTACATGTATGTCTTGGCCTACAATAACCATCTAGTCAACTACTATTCAATACTGGTATAATAATTATGTTCCATTATTATGATTGTTATGATAATAAGTCCTTACTCTACAGATGTCCCATTGTATCATGGAGATCTGTGTGGGATGCCTCTCCTGGAGTACTTTATCACTTCAAGGTTCCTATCAGGAATAATTTATTTGGGAGAAAGTTTCGGAGATGACATACCAGGATATATAGAAAGAAGGATGCAGTGTTTTATTGCTTTGTTGGAATTATTAAGAAATCACAAGGTACAGTACATGCATGATAGAGTTAAAGTCAATCGGTTTCCAATATTATGCAAGGCTTGTTGTTATGTTAATGCTGGAATTGAAACTGGTTCTATTTTAGTGTAAAGTGTGTGTTAAAGATCGAATGACTCGTACTTTTGATTAAAGATATACTAGCCTAGCATCATAATTGTATATTGCCAGTCAGCCTTAACATTGTAATGAGATGTCATGTAATGTGAGTGTGTCCATGTAGTTTTAATTGTGGGTGTGTTTTGTTTTTAGAGTTGATTTTAAATTATTTTCAATTATTTTAAGTTTATTTTCAATTCACAGGATGTGCCATTGGTATACAGTACAACGCCCGAAGCGTCACTGATAGATTTTAAATCTAAGGATGCCAAACCAGCTCCTGTTCCTTTATTCTCTGTTCTAAAGGTATGAAATTTAAATGATGCATAAGTTTTATGATAATCATGCTACTCGTGATAGAGTGCCGAACAACAGTTTTCTGAAGTATACTGCAGTATGTATCAAGTTAAAACTGTAGGAGTCCGTCCGTTTTATCCTTATGGTCCAATGGCGGACTCTGGATCAATGGTATATAATATTGCAGAATCTATTAGCGAAGGAAAGTCCGTCCCATTGCCTCATAATGCAAAGTAAGTATATAACTTTTAGTGTTGATAGAGTGCTGTAATTGACTGTAATTGACTAAAAATAACATATTAATTTACAGCTATTGTATTAAATGTATGTGTGAACTTATTTGTGATTTTGAAAGTGACAAAATTACATGTACATTTTGGCAATAATTTTAATGCGATATATGCTTATAAATAATATTTGTTTGTTTATTATTTTATACAGGCAGATTCCTTTGACTTACGACTTCACGGCCGTTACAGATATTGCTACTGGGATTTGCAATGCTTTAAAGAATATGCCTAAGACCTGTGGTGTCGTTTATGATCTAGGAAGTAGTCATCCTCAAAAGGTTACAACTGCTGCTGACATACTTAAAAAACAACTCAAGAAAGACACTACGAATGTAAGAACTTTAGTTAAGGAAGTAGATCTATGTTTTGATGCATAGATAATATGATTGACTTACATGTATGTATCTGTGGGCTCATGTTATTAATGTGTTAATGTTGTCATGGCTACACCTACTGCATGTAATAATTAAGTGACTTTGGCCTGATTTTTGAGTAACTTTAAAAATTCATAAAACATTCAAATGTGATCAAAATCAGCTCAAACTTGTTACACAACATAAGAACATGTATATCTATTAGAAAAAATTATAAAAATGGAGAATTCTTTTCTAGTCAATTTTGGCGAAATTTGCCCAAAGTCCCTGTACTATAGTACAGGGACTTTGGCCTGATTTTTGAGTAACTTTAAAAATTCATAAAAATTCCAGTGTTAATTGGAATTAATTCAAACTTTCTACGCAATGTAAGTACATGCATATGTATCACTGAAAATTATAAAAATTGAAAATTTTTGATTTTTAATTTTTGGCAAAATTTGGCCAAAGACCCTGTACAGGGACTTTGGAAATTCATAAAAAAATCAAATTTGATTGAAATCAGCTCAAACTTGCTACACAACATAAAAACATGTATATGTATCAGAAAAAATTATAAAAATGGAGAATTCTCTCCTAGTCAATTTTGGCAAAATTTGCCCAAAGTCCCTGTACTATAGTACAGGGACTTTGGCCTGATTTTTGAGTAACTTTAAAAATTCATAAAAATTCCAGTGTTAATTGGAATTAATTCAAACTTTCTACGCAATGTAAGTACATGCATATGTATCACTGAAAATTATAAAAATTGAAAATTTTTGATTTTTAATTTTTGGCAAAATTTGGCCAAAGACCCTGTACAGGGACTTTGGCCCTATTTTTGAGTAACTTTAAATATTTATTAAAAATGCAATTTTGATTGGAATCAGTTCAAACTTGCTACACAACATAAGAGCATATACATGTATACGTATCAGGAAAATTATAAAAGTTGAGACTTCTCTCTTTTTTATTTTTAACGAAACTTAACCAAAATTCCTGTTTTATAGTACAGAGATTTTGACCCATTTTTATGACCTAACAAACCAGACCCAAGCTAGTTAAGAAATTTATTATTACTATTGTTTTTGTTGTTGTTGTTGTTGTTGTTGTTGTTGTTGTTGTTATCATTTATTATTATTAGCTAACTGGAGAAGTGTAGGGTGCTGTGATTAACAAACTACTAACAGTAGCTGCATGAGCACTATGCCAGAATGCTGTGGAAAACCCTAACCATGCAGAGTTACATGTTATTATGTTATTATTCAGGAAATTCAAATATTGAACTTGACTTCTCCAGTGGCTGACATCAGTTTAGCTAGAAAGGAAATTGGGTATTCTCCTACAGCAGACTTTGAACAAGGTATATACACTCTACTTTATAGTTAGAAAATTTGGAGTGTTAAAATTTGACGAATTGACTTTAAAAGAGGTTTGGGGGTTAAAATTTTGGCAAAATTGTAATGCTTGCTTTTATGGAACTGTATCAAATTGGAGACTAAAAATTTGGTGAATGGATCTCAATTCGCCAAATTTGCCAAAGTTTTACTCCACCAAAATTTCTAGCTATACGGTATTTTATACAACTGTCAGTGACTGAATTATTTCATATTTCTATTAGGAGTGAAGCCATTTGTGGAATGGTTTATGTCTAAGAAAGCAAAAGTTCCAAAGAACATAATGAAGTTAGTTATGATTGAGTTACATGTAACAAGAACCAGTCATGTGTTATGATGGGCCAGCCCTTGGCTAATATTCCACATTGTAGGATTATTATGTGTACTTGTTTTTTATGCACAGGATTGTCAATGTATATTTAGACTCTGATATAAAGATGCAAGATATTAAAAAAAGAGGTGACGTATTCTACGAAAGAGTGAAAAACCTTCGCCTAAAGTTAGTGACCTTCATTATTATTTTTAAAATTAATTTTAGAAAAAAAACCACTAAATAGTTTTTGTTTAGAATAAAAGTCGTAATATTTTTTGTTGCTCTATTGTATAATGTAGATATGAGGCTGAGTCTACTGGTCGTCGTCCTGTTGCTAAATTTTATCCGAATAAAAATTTCATATTCTTTCCAGGTGAAACTAAGAAAACACGCTCATGAATTTGCTGATAATAAGTACTACTGTATTATTATTATTATTTTTATAGGTGTTACTTCAGGAATTGATAAAAGGACGTTAAAGGGAAGAACCATTGAAGTGAGTAGTTTTAATTGCAATGAATATACAATGTAGTAACCGCTCTATGCATGGGCATACAAATATTTAAAGCAATTTTAGTTAATATTTAAAAGTCATGATGCTTAAGATTCTTTCCAATGTATTATTATACTATATCCCAACTGAGTTTGACACCAGCCGCTTGGAATTTGAAAAATGTAGGTGTACGTCACTGATGACGTCTTATAATGATATTCATAGAAGCATGGCCGACATTTTACAGCTGCGTGGTTGGCCTGTATTTCACTCTTAAATGGGTTTTGTTTGTTCAGATAAGCAGTACAATAGCTGCTGGAGTCAACTAGTCTTTATACATGTAATCATCATCAAAAGATCTTGCTCTGTTAGCTTTTAAAAAGAAGAATTATCAGTTTGGGCGCTCGACCACATGTTCTTATGTAAACTATGACGTAGATAAATTGTCATAAAACGTCATTTTGGTATGCCATTGGGTTTATAGGGAGAACCCGATTCTCAGGGTTCCCAAGGGCTGAGAGACCCAAGACCTGAGATCCTGTGATGGCATTGAGCGACTAAGAACCTGTGAAAGCCTCATCCTTATCCCACATTCCTATAAAAAGTTATTCCAGTTTTTCTTGGGTCAAACTCAGTTGGGATTAGTATTACATTATTATTGTATTATTATTCTAAGTTTACACAGCAACAAAAATGATGCAATCGGTATAGTTTTGTGCCTGTTTTATGCTTCTGTTTACATGAAAACAAATGAAAACGTGATAGAATCTTCATAGGACTCTATGGAAACAAAAACAGTGATCAAAGTGTATGGTTTTTAAAAGGATGTGTTTTGCCTACATGTATGTATTTATATTGTAGCTCATAGTACATAATTTATGCTTTAATTTGTGTTTATTTCCAATAGGAATTAAAGAAAGAGTGTGGCCGTATTGACGAGTGTATTGGTTTTACTCCTGAAGGCAGTCTTAGGGTTGCCATTGGCTTACAAAAAGATTGGACTAATGGCAGTGGCCTATATGTGGCTGATATTGATATATGCCAGGCTGGTCACCACAACTGTAGAGGAAACTACACTTGCAAATATGAAGGTATGAAGAAGCATAGTAGTACAATGGAAGCATAGCTTCATGCGGTTGTCTCAGTCTGCCAACCATTCTGCATGCCTCGTGCTATAATACTGTACAAGAAAAATTTTGATGGGATATACATTGTAGCTTTCAATGATACAATTGATAGAATGATTTAAAATTGCTAAAATTATACTTGCTAAATAGAATTTTAGCCCGTTAAAATTTGCTTCATTATATTTACTTTATGTTAATCAATTAAGACTATTTCATGTTTTAGGACCATCACAGTGTACTTGTGGCTGTGCTAAAGGCTGGAAGAGTACAAAAAACACTATATGTGTTCAAGTGTAAGACAAAAATAATAAGAAATTGTTTGATGTTATTTTTGTTACTTTAAAGTGAGTATTTTGAAGGAATGACATCGGATAAGGAAAGACAATGGAAATATGACGACGCACTTCATGGCCGTCAGTTTAAAGGACAAATGACTGACTCCTTCACTGAACATAAAGTATAAAAAAACTGACTACCGTACAGGTATAAAATTTTGTGGGGTATTTAATTTCACAGATTTTGTAGGTGACTTCTTAACCACGAAAATTAATACCATGAAAATGCTCACTGCGCATGTGCAGCATGTGGAAATCAATGACTTAATGCAAGTGCACGTGCAAAAATGTGAAATCGAACCCCCTCAAAATTAAAGAATTAAGAGCTTTTCACTACTGAAAACACGAAATTTTATACTCTTGAAATTTACTACCTGTACGGTATATAAATTCTCTCTTTTCTACTTGTCATAGTTTCTGTCAAGTAGATAGCTCTTTTATGCAATTGTCTGTCTGTGATTCTCTTTTATTCTCTCTCAATTCCTCTTCTTTTTCCTCTGTCTTGTACTCAATGTAGGAAACCAGCATAAATGGAACTGTAATTCTGTCTTATCCTGATGCCAAAGGTGACATTGAGAAGTTGAAGTCAGCGTGTCTCCATACTTATCGTTGTGTGGGATTCAATGTTAAAGATAATAGGTTGCTCTCGGAAGTGAAAGGCTTGACTAAGAAATCATCAGAATTCACAGCATACACACGTAATCTCAATAACTAAGCAACTTTATACTAACCTTGATACTAACAATTTTAGATATATTATTACTAGAATAAAATTTTCTTTCAAAACTAATAATATTTATTACATTGACATTTGACAGCCAGGGACAATATCAATGCATCAGAAAATGTAATAAAAATTGGGGATGATTTCAGAGCCATTTTTTGGAAAAAACCATGGGCTATAGTACAGGGATTTTTTCAAAAACTGGCAGATTTTTTAAAATGGCCATAACTCGAAAAATTGAAGTCGGAATCAGCTCAAACTTTCTACATAGCATAAGTACATCAATATGTATCAGAAAATGTAATAAAAATTGAGGGTGATTTCGGAGCCATTTTTTGGAAAAACCATGGGCTATAGATACTTCAGGGATTTTTTCAGAAAATGGTCAATTTTTAAAAATGACCATGCATAACTCAAAAAATTGAAGTTGGAATCAGCTCAAACTTTCTACACAACTTAAGGACATTAATATGCATCAGAAAATGTAATAAAAATTGGGGGTGATTTTGGAGCCATTTTTTGGAAAAAATTATGGGCTATAGTACAGGGATTTTTTCAGAAAATGGCCAATTTTTAAAAATAGCCGTAACTTTAAAAATTTAAGTCAGAATCAGCTCAAACTTTCTACATAGCATAAGTACATCAATATGTATCAGAAAATGTAATAAAAATTAAGGGTGATTTTGGAGCCATTTCTCGGAAAAAACTATGGGCTATATACAGGGATTTTTTCAAAAACTGGCACATTTTTAAAATGGCCATAACTCAAAAAATTGAAGTCAGAATCAGCTCAAACTTTCTACATAGTATAAGTACATCAATATGTATCAGAAAATGTAATAAAATTGAGGGTGATTTCGGAGCCATTTTTTGGAAAAAACCATGGGCTATATATAGTACAGGGATTTTTTCCGAAAATGGCCAATTTTTAAAAATGACCATAACTCAAAAAATTGAAGTTAGAATTGGCTCAAACTTTTTACATGGCATAAGTACATCAATATGTATCAGAAAATGTAATAAAAATTGAGGGTGATTTTGGAGCCATTTTTCCTTGAAAAGAAAGAGATGTAATTTCAGGAGCTTTGTTAATTTTAAAAAAAGTAAAGCTTACTGGTCATCTCATCTTCAATTTGATGATTATAACTATTTCAAACCTTTTCTTATATCAGCAATGAAGAGTGCTCCTGAAGCATACATTCTTATTATACATAATTTATTGAGTGATGACATTGTCAAGAAGTTACTAGTTGCATGTCCATCATGCCATTTTAAACATGAAGACCCAGTGAATATGAGCATTGTTCACGATCAAAAAATGTACCTTCTTTATGATTATTTGCTGGATAACCCCAGCGTAGGTTATTTGGTGACTTCAGACATTCGTGATGTTGCATTTTATGCTGATCCATTTAAAGCAATGAAAGAAATTGGTGACTACATTTATGCTGGTTATTATGTCGCTTTCTATAAAGAAAAAGTGAAGACTATGCCATGGCTGCGATATATGCTGCGCATGTGTTTTCCTCATCTAAAAGATGTAGAAAAGAATATAATTTGAAATTTGTATGGAATATTCAACAGTGGTACACTAGGTGGTTCAAGACATGCTCTCCTTACGCTATTGAGTCATATGATCCTTTATCTTGATATAGCAAGTCTTGATGGAGTCTGTGACATGGTAACAACCAATGTTGTGCTTCATTTGCAACTATATGATCACGTTTATGCTGGTTACCCATTCAGTGGATCATTTCTGAATGGGATTTTTGGTCAGCAGGGAGCTGCAGTCTGGCACAAAGTTGGGCGGGATTATAAAGGCATAAGATAGACCTTATTGAGGAACTTATCATACACATATTTCACCTCTGCACACTTTACATGTACAAACCTCATTCTTAATATACTATATCCCAGTTGAGTTTGGGACAAGAAAAACTGGAATAACTTTTTATAGGAATGTGGGATAAGGATGAAACTTTCACAGGTTCTTAGTCGCCAAAGTCCATCAAAATCTGTGAAATCTTGGGTCTCTCAGCTCTTGGGAACCCTGAGAACCGGGTCCTCCCTATAAACCCAATGGCATACCAAAATGACGTTTTATGACAATTAGTCTACGTCATAGTTTACATAAGAACATGTAGTCGAGAGCTCAAACTGATAATTCTTCTTTTAAAAAGCTAACAGAGCAAGATCTTCTGATAATGATGGCCTTTATGAAGACTAGTTGACTCCAGTAGCTATTGTACTGCTTATCAGGAAGAGCAAGACTGTTTTAAGAGTGAAACAACACAGCCGCCATTCCTCTATGAATATCATTAAAATACGTCATTTTTGTGACGTAGCTACATTTTTCAAATTCCACGCAGCTGCTTCCACTTCCGTCCCAAACTGAACTGGGATATAGTATATAAACCCTTTAGTCATGTGTTCAAGCTATGCTATAGTTTGAGTATTGGTATAATAGCTATTATTGTGTTTTAATTTATATTTATAATTACCCTAGCCGCTCATGTATTTAATAATGACAGATGATTTTAATTTATAGTCCCTCTAATTAATGATTTCATGTTCTACTGTAGTCGTTTCTGAGTCACTTAGCAGTCTTTAAGCAAAGTGGCAACAAAAGCAACAGTTCAATATTTTTTAAATAAAAAATAAATGTCATAAATCTGATAAATCGTCTAATAACTGTTGGTATATTGAAAAAGTTGCTCAACTTGTAGCTGAAAACACAATCATGTTGTCATCAGGATTTGTAATGACTGATTTATTGCTAAATGAGAATAAGATGCTACACTCACTGTATATTGTAGATCTATAACAATGCTTGCATGGTTGGACTATTATTGCTTTTGTAGGCACTTGGCAAGAGAAACTTCATTCTCTTGTATGCTGTTATGCCAAAACAATTAGCCAAAATTATTAACTGTTGATGAATGATTATTATTGAAACAATATCGTGTACATATAACACATGTAAAAAAAAATAACATAAAATCAATAATTAGCATGACACATCTGCTCCATGATGCCTTTCCTTGTTACTTCAAAGTACCTGCTCATTGTGAATGTCTGTGACTTCCACGATTTAGTCTTTTTTTCTGGAAACCTATAGTGGTGTGTTAGGCCTAGTTTTACGGGAACATAGAACTCTTTTGTGTAGCCTTTTTGCCAGGGCTCAAATATGTAATGACACCAAGCAGTGTTGACAGCAAGTGGCTTCACAATGAGTTTATGATATTTGTATTGATACGGAGGATAAAAGCTACGCTTAGTATTCATAAAGTAACGAGGCCACTTCATGCCCGGACATTTCGTAGAGCATGCTACCTCCGGTAAAGGGATGCCATCGTTCCACATGAAGGCATTGTAAAGGATAAAAGAAGCAGAGTTCCTCGCCCCGGCCATTTTTTCCAAATCCAAGAGCATCTCCGGTATAGTGAGGTGCTTCTGGGGCACAAAAAACTCGTCAACGTCCATGAGTCCAAGATACTTGACACGATTGATGTTCCTAAAAATGCATTCAGAAATGACACCTGTCTGTCCCCAAATTTTAGTATACTCTTTAACGTAGGGGATGCCCATCTTCCAGTCTAGTACCTCAACAATGCCCCGCCCAATGTAAGGAAGCATGATCTCGTAATACGACTCGGACACATTTTGAAGGTATACAGTGATGACTTTGGCACCCAAAGCAATGTTGAGCTCAACCCAGTCGACCAAAAGCTGTGGGTCGATCAAATTATACAAAGCCTGATGCAAGCAAACTCCAAAGTCGTAGTTGCTTTTTTGCTTGCGTGTGTCTTTAATTAGAATAGTTTTGGAGTGACCACCAGAGCAGGTTGAGTCGGTAGTTAAAGTGGCTGAGATCGGAGATAAGGAGGAGTCAATCATCTTAGTGTTTCTCATTAAATAGTGAACATAGAGCTCTCTCACTCCACGCCTAAGATCAAGCTCCCCACTGTGTCCCCAGTACTCTAATCTAGTGCATACAGAGCTTCCATCATCGTAGACTAGCCGTGCATAAATAAGTGGTTTTATTTTTTCTCTGTCGTCATGCATTGTGATAAAAGCAACAGCTGGATAGTTTGGATCCCTTGTGTCAAAATATGCCATACGCCTTGCCTATGGAGAAATAAAAGAATACAAATCAATTCATTATGTGTGTTACTGTGATCATAAAGGATTCTATTTAAGGGTTCTTCTTGGTGAGATTGGTCCAAAGTCCCTGTACTATTAGTAACGCGGTGACGTTACTAAGTAGGATTCACCCCAAACAAAATGGCTGCCACAACTTTTGCAGCTATGCTATATACACATGTAGTGCAGAGACTTTTGAGCAATCAAAAACCTGATGGACTTTCAATTATAAATGTCACCCATGTATCAAGGCTTCAGCATGAATGAAACATTCTTCATGAATTAATGTTAATATAACCATTTCATTGCATCTCTCTCAACAACGCTTCTCTTCTCAGCTCGGCATTATTAAAAGGAAATAATTAGAATCGACAATTTATTGTTATTTTAAGCAAAGTAAATCAAAATCGTTATATCTTAGACTATCAAAACAGGCCTATAAACTTCAGAAGCTTGATAAGAGTTTGTATAATATACATGTAGGTAGCATTTAGTGTTGTTTTAGTTAACTAAAACTAAAACTAATAATACTTTTAGTTTGGCCTTGTTGACTTTTAGTTAACTAACTATAACTAACTAAAACAATTTTTATGCAAAAATAACTAACTATAAACTAACTATACTTAACTTTAATGCTTCAAAACTAACTATAACAAATAATATTGGTAGAAATAAAACTAAAACGTTTATCTATTTGATACATTATATACTCTTGTTCAGGCTTGTTGCAAAAATAACAACTGTCATCATCAGCATGTCACATGCATGTCAGGTATACATATACATGTGCTAGTCAGTGGTCTGGTAGTCTGGTACAATAGCATTAAGTTAACAGTATAATGTAGCACAGATGGCTATGATTGTAGAAACTAGGAGACCTGAGGGAAGACCAAAAAGAAACCCTGTATGGAATCATTTTACATATGACCAAGAAAGCAATGAGAGTGTTTGTACCATCAGGAATG